TCCAAAACAAAAAACACACTGTACTGGCAGAAATGGTGCAGCACTACATCAGAGAATCTGCATGCTGATATTGGCTCAACAGTGGTCTGTTGTCAGTGCTGCGTAGTTATACAGAGAAACAAAGGGCACAGTGTCACTAAAATAACTCCTATAAGTATGGATTTTCAACCCAGGGCACACTGATTTGGAGCCCAAGAGCTACAAGGTCAGTCTCTTGGTGCAGCGCAGGTGCTACAGGTAGCTCCATGTAGTATGCTATAGAAAATGTACACTTCCAATTGCAGTACAGTTTAGATAGATGCACTCCTAAAACAATGCATCTGTAGCAACAACACCAGTATTCTCACTATTTGGTCCAGTGACTTCTTCAGCTTGTTTTTCTTTTGGAAGACTTGCAAATCATGCATCAAATATTTGTAGAAAATTAGATCAAGTGTTGGCCTTTGAGGAGAGGAGCCCTGAGGATTTACACACATCACTGCTCCAAAATATGATTTTGTCTAATGTATGGAAAAGCTTCAACTTGTTTGTTCCCCTAATATCCAGGAGCAAGACTGTGGGATGATCATATGTACCCGTCGCTCGCCAGATGGATATCTGCAACATTTTTTTTGAGAATCATTACGTTTTCATTTGAGAATCATTAGGCTTTCATGAAATCAAAATGCTAAAAGATAGTAATTAATAATAAATAATAAAAATGGTCTAATGCCATTCTCCTCTTTCTTCAGCATTATCCCATGGCCCAGCTGCGGCACCCTCCCCACATGCACAGCACTGCTGTATAAAGCACTTTCTGAATGTTGTCTTACTCTTTGTGTCTCATTTCATTATATTCTCTTTCCTGTCAAGGTGAACAAGCACCAGCTTCTTCAAGGCCAAAATCCTCATTGTAAACTTATACAATTCTTTCAAGGTTAAAAGCTGCTTTAAGGTAGACAAACTTGGGGTTCAGTGTCTTGCTCAGGGACACTTCAACTTGTGGCCTGTGGAGAGCAGGGATCGAACCGTCGACCTTCCGGCTGGGGGACGACCAATCTACCTTTTGAACCAGAAGCGGCCCACCACATCATTAATCAGACAAATTGGTTCCAAGCTGCATTTGTCATCCTCGCAAAACAAAGCTCTATGTTTTTAGCCCTGCAATGAAAGGTCTGCGTAGACACCCTGGGCTTTGAGATGTGACAGCTCTGAGTGGCTTTATAATGTTCAGCTGGGTGCCATGGTGGCTCAGTGATACTTTCTCTTTTACTGACCTGAACACTTACAGTAAATAAAGTACAAAACACCTCCAAAGGTTATGACAAATTACTGTGTTTTCAAGTTTCTCCTAGCAGGCAGGATGACTTGCCAGTCATCAGAGGAAAAGCTGGCTCATGGTTTCAGCAGCCAACAGCCAGCCTTACTTGGATGTTTTATGGATGTGTAACCTTTATAGGGGAATTACTGCAGAATAAGTGAACCAATCCATAAGTTGTGAATATGTGCAAGGAACTTCTTCCTCACCCACAGTGGTACAACCTCATACCATCATGCCAAGGGATTCTAACAAATTTAATATATGCTTACAGTAAAAAATCTGAAACATTAAAGAGCCCATGGCACACTTTAACTTGTTTTCTGACATATCTGCAATGTTACAACAGTGAATTATCATCTTAGATGTGACCTAAAGCTAAAAAAAAAAAAACAAGTGTACGTATGTTCTAGTATTTCTAGGTTTATACACATCTTGCATATTCTCGCTCACAAGACTTTTTTTTCCTAACAAAACACAGTATTACGTGATATTTTACGGATTTCCTTGAATGGTCTCCAGGCAGTTGCATGTTCATGTGATCTTGCCTGACATCCACAGGTGCCATTGTAAAAGTGGAGTTTTTCAGCTGCACACGATTTTGTGGATTTATTTTACCTCCTGCTGCTCCACTGTGACCAGAGGATGTGGAGAAAAATACAGGGCCTGAGGTTACTGCATGTCCGGAAATGTTCCTGTACAGGGACTTGTTCTTTTACCTGACCAGGTCTAACCTACAGGCAGCCAGGCTGTGAAACACTCTGTGGCAGCTCATCAACCCTGGATTCCCCCAGAGCACAGTACCTGTTTGTTTTGACTGCTTGAGGCCAGTGTGTCTGCAGCACGTGATGTGATGTGGGTTAACGAGAGGATTAATGATCCATTATGTTATTGTCAGAGCTATGCTACCTGTTGGAATTAATTTAACTACTTTGGGACTCTATGTGGTTGTGTGGGAGAAGACGCAGCGACCACCAGTTGGATTTAGCGACCATTGGAGCTACTTGAAAGGGAGTGACGTTTCCACTACTGGGTGGGACTTAATGGTTAGTTTAAAAAAAACAAAAACACGTTGCATGTCCGTTATTGCCTTGTTTCTGTAACGTTAGAGAGAATCATTGTAAGGCTGGAGAAGATACTATGTCTGCATTATGCCAACGACCCGTTTTTTTTTTTTTGAGTGTTACATATACCATTGTTTACCTATCTATGGAGGAGAAATTCACATTAATTAATGCCGTTGCACTTCATCTTCCACCTTACCACCGATACACCGGCAGCAGATGTGGACATACACGAACTATCCTCTCATTTTAGGAAGAGGCTCTCTGGTTTTATTATTCTTACAGATTATTTGGGGTTATGATGGGTGCAAAGCTAATCTAGAGGTACCCAAGATTAAACATTAAATGGCTGGATATGAGCATGCCATGGGCACTTTAAGTTTCTTTAAGTCTTCTTTGTTGCCCAGCTGTAAATATGTTGTATTATAATGCTGTTCCCTCTCAGGAGGACCTCTCCTCCCGTTGTTTCTTTGTCCTTTGTCCTCTATTATCACTTCCCTCATCCATCACCTGTTGCTATCATCTGCCACTAATATCAATGAAATACATATTTCAGAGGACAGCATGCTGACTGAACGTTAAGTCCTCCACTTCCCGTTATACTCCAGTATAAACACTAAATTCATGGTCACTGTTTGGCCAAAAAAGTTACATGCTGATGAGTAGTGTAATCAGCTGACTCCCTGTGTGCACTTAAATACAGGGTTGTAGCATCCCAGCACACAAACTGACTAATGCACATGTGGGGGACTGATAGGACTGTTGATTGATGCTGATGAGTCAGTCATTACTGAACCAGGTGCTGACATTTCTGCTAATCAGTTGCTCTCCAGCCCCTTCTCTGTTGAAAACAATGGAATAATTCCCCACTCACTCCTTTTCTGCTAATCAGTTGCTCTCCAGCCCGTTCTCTGTTGAAAACCAGGAATAATTCCCCACTCACTCCCGCTGCCTAATGATGAAGGACAGTGGATAACCAAGCACCAATGACACAGCAATATTGTTGTTGTGCTACAATTTATCATTGAGTTATTTGCCTTTTAGTGAGTTCACTGGATCTTGGCTTGGATAAGACTGCTTACTGATTTGTACAGTGAAGGTAAGACTGTTATCTGTGTCCTTTATGGCTATCATACAGGGATCAGATAGCAACCGGTGCTGCTAATGTTTTGAGCGCCAATGAAATTCCTTTCAAGAAAGATTTAGTAAGTAAGGATTCTTTAATTGCTGCTTGGGAAAGTCATTAGTCATTTTCATTTGTTCTTGTCTACTCCCTGTATTATGTTTTGTCTGCAAACCAAACCTCCACTGTGAAAATATATTCAATAAAACAGTGCGGCGTCTGTGTAAACAGACAGTATACGTATAGGAGCCAAGTGTGTCTTTGTGAGAGATTATTGAATTGCTTTAGATAAGAGTTTTAGCTGCCTGAGTAAAATGTGATAGAAAACAAGCTGACTATAGCTTTTCTGATAAGTTTGTAGTTCACAGTCTCTCAAGTCTACATTAATCTTTCATGTGCATGTTTAATTAGAGTTGTATCCTGGTGTATGACCGATATGTCACATTCTCATGACCCACAGCTCACATTCTTATTTTGAGTGTACTGACGTCTGAACTTTTTCTCCTAAAGCCTACCTTAAGACAAATATGGAGAAACAGCTAAGATCTATTAAAGAGAAATTACCCCTGGAACTAGAGAAGAGAAATAACAGAGATCTTATTTATGATATGTAGTTCTCATAGGTTTCTCCTGAATGACCATTTGAAACACAATGGAAAGAAAAAAGCCACAACTG